TGATTGTTTCCTAATATAAAGTATTAATCATAATTAATGAACTCTATTTATATTCCATAAATATTCAAATCATAATAAATGAACTCTCATCATTTCTATAAATATCTTAATTATTTGGGTTGCAAGGGTTGTACAAATACACAAGGTTGTAAAAGAAATATACCCTATATATATATATATATATATATGTGTGTGTGTGTGTGTGTCAAATGAAATTTATACTCACGTTTCACTGTCGATGACTGGTGGCTCTTTAAACAATTAGCTTACAAAATAATCATTTTTTATAAAAAATATATATATTATTTTATAAAATAATCTAAAAGAACCCACCAACTAATAATTTTCTAATCTAATATTTTAAAGCAAATTCCTTATAAAAGGCAATTTTTTTTATATCAAGTATGAACATGTTTTTGACTTCCACACAATATATTTAAAATAACATTTAATAATACAAAAATATGAATAAAAAAATCATCAAATTTCCAGAAATACCAATATTTATTCGTATAAACACGTAATTTTTTTAAGAACAATATATACAACTAAAAAAAATATGTTTTATTATTTTTATTTGACTTATTATTTCTTAAAAAAATCTTATTCTATCACAAACGTTATACCTAATGTCTTAATAATTATATTTTGAAGTACAAGATTGGTTTCTAGTGAGAATGAAAGTTATGGTTAGAATGGTAAGAAGGGATATCCATTAGGGGAGCCCTGGAGATCTAGTCTAACATTCCCCACTTGTCCGACTGTTGCTGAGCAGTTTTTGGATATCAAACTCATTCGATCAATCATAATTGAAGATCAACAATAATGAGATATACCGAGATGTATTAAATCTCTTGAATACATACATACATACATATATATATATACTAGAAGCGTACTCGCGCAATGCAGCGAGATACATCGTGTTTTTAATATTTCATTTTATTATTTATCTCAGTCGATGTTATAATATGGCTTTATGTGATTTTGAGAAAGCGATGATGTTTTTATTTTTGAATAAAATATATGTTTGACGATATCATA